TTTTGTCCTTTCAGTTTCCCGATGCCGTATGCAAACCAGTCAGTCGTGACAGTGACCAGTTTCAACGATGAGGTCTTTAAGTTCACCCTGGAGGACACCGACCTCAGTGTGGCCAATGCTATACGCCGTGTCTGCATCGCCGAGGTGCCAACCCTGGCCATTGACTGGGTTCAGCTGGAGGAGAACAACACCATGCTAAATGATGAGTTCATCGCGCAACGCGTTGGCCTCATCCCCCTGACCTCGGACGACGTGGTCGACAAGATGACTTACTTCAGGGAGTGCACCTGCCGGGACTTCTGCAAGGAGTGTTCGGTGGAGCTGACGCTGGATGTGGCCTGCACCGACGACACGCCCAGACACGTGACTGGCGCTGACCTGGTCTCGAGTAATCGGGACGTTCGTCCAGTGCCTTGTCGAGAGACTGATGACGCCCTGTACGGCGCTCAGGTAATGTTACAAGTCTGCTCTGGGATATTTTTAAAGGCCGCACGAAAGCAGGCTCCCAGTAGTCAGCGAATTATTCACACTTGTCTAACCCTCCTAATAATTAGGTGTGCCGGGTAGTCATCTGGTGGATTCTAGATTGATTTCTTAGGAAATCCTGCTTGGGCAGTCAACTTACTGGGGCGGTATTGGTGGATTCCATGCCTGCAGTAGGCTGGGTGGGTAAATCGACCCAAGTGAGATTACATTCACGACTTTCGGCATGCCTTCGTGGCTCAATCGGTAGAGCGTCGGCTGTAATCAAGCCTTCTCTTGCTGGCGTGGGTTCGAATCCTATTGAGGCCGTCGAGTTTTTAACAATTGGGTCAATTGGACTTGTATAGCTTGCTTACTAATCACTGGATAGTTTTGGACATTTCAGTCGTCAGCTTAAGCAACAGGAAGGTCCCTAAAGGATTTTACACGAAACACTTATTTTAAATTGGTTTTTGCCAGATTTATAACCAACTAAATTTAAAAAGCGCACCTATTAAATTGGTATCTTTGCAGGTTTAGGGCAGAAGACAAAAACCAGAGTTTCTAACCGGCATCACCATTGTGATACTGTACTATAAAACTGGAATGAACTCCTTTCCAATTGGTTTCTGGGCAAGTGCTTTACTCTTCGACCGCGAGCTCAAGCCCTGCAGACCGTAATCAAGAAGATCCTAATTTTGAGCCTTCATGGCGTGCGGTAGAGTGACTGAGGGTGGTCAATGAGCCAGAAATCGATATTTTAATTTCCCTTACAATTTTCGTTTACACTTATCGGTTATCCAGAGTCTATTGTTAAACCAACGTCCTGCCAGTACTTCAGATTGGAGCTTTAAAGCAAGACGAAACCTCCGTATTCCGCCTCATATCAAAGGTAGATCAGTGAATTCCTCTTTGTTAAGTGGCGTCTAGAAAATGACGACCGTAGCTCCACCCTTTTTCGTCGTTAGCAGCTTAGTGGGAAGTTTAGCCTTTCTTACTCCAAACTCACTGCACCGTTGTTGTACTAGATCGAAATAGGGGGCCACTGTTTCATGACCTGTTGGTGACAATTTCTTTTGGGACTCACTTCGCTTATTACGCTTATTGCCTAGTTATTTCGCAGTAGTAAACATGTTTTCCTACCACGAAGGTACGACACGGTCCATCCACATTGCACTCCCCACACGGATTTATTGAGCGTCCTGCGGCCACTTTTAGTTTTAGTCTAAAGTTGCAAAAATGGCAGGGAACTATAGAGGGGTGCCTGGAAGGCCAACATGTACAATAACCACTTACTTACAAATGTTAAGTAGGATGAATTTCCACTACCTTCCTATTTTTCGCCCGCCGGCGTTGACCCCGTTGGGGTTGGTGATAATATCAAAATGTGTATCTTGGTGACCTCGCACAAGGTCAGCAAACACCTCCAAACATACACGCGCTCACCGTTGGTCCAGTAGGGATTAGTGATAATATTAAAATGTACCTCAGTGACCTCGCCCAAAGTCAACGAACACCCTCCAACTTACGCGCGTAACTTTCTTAATTTCTATGATTATTGCTCACAGACTTGTCCCCCCACAATATGCCCCACCCATTCTGACCCCTAAAACCGGGTGCCCTTATTGGGGTGGAGCGCGCTTCGCGCGCACTGTGGGGACCCCACCATAGTTCCTCACCCAAAAAAATTACCATCAGTTTTAGTTTAGTTCGATTTTAAGTTTAGTTTAATTCTAGTTATAGTTTAGTTTAGTTTTAGTTTATTATTTAGTCTTATTGGTGTTGGTTTAGTTTATTTTTAGTTGGTTTCATTTCATTTTACTTTACTTTTACTTTTGACGACACGCGGTTGTGACTTAAATATGGGTAAAATGCTTATTTTTCATGGCTTCACTTTAGTCTCTAAAATTCGGTATAGAGTCGATAATTATTCCTATTATTTTTACTTCTATGCCCTTTCATTCTTTAATTATTATTTTCTTTCCCTCGATATGCCCATTTATTTAACCCCTAGTACCACCGGTCCCATATTGCAGAATGCTGGTTTTTTCGTTTGCTTTGTGACCCCGAAACCATACTGTTACCGATCCCTCTTACTCGGGCTGTGCGCAGTCTACGTGGTGTCTTTGGTATTCTGTACGTGTGCCAGATTAAGACCTGGCATCCACTTAGCCAATAATTGGACAAGCCAGGAGTATATGGGAAATGAAAGAGAGAACCCGACTCTGAGATACTATTCCTAATGGCCATCTGACACACTTCAT